TTCATAAAGTCATGCGAGCTGGAATTCATAATCATGAAGTGTGCATATTCAGCCAGCTAATTTTAACATGATGCACATGGGCCTTTGAAAATGAAAATTATGGCCTTGAACTGGGCTTTCTGTGAGTAAAAGATGTAATATTGCAAAATGTATAATCTCTGGGTGGTGAGGGTAAGGACTTGTGGAGAAATGCTTACTAAACTCAACATATTTAGCCTAGATAACAAGGAGACTTAACTACAGCATGCAACTTCGATGGTATTTTGTGGCAGTAGCTAAAAGCATATGCAGAGAGTTTGGAATGCATTCCTTAGATATGAATTAGAACAAGATTAGGATAAATTTTGATTAGATAACAGAAAGGCACTGATCCAGCACTTTCAAAGCGTTTGATTTTGGTGTTGAGCTAGGTTGCTGGCCTGCAGAGTGAAAGGTTTGAGTATTTTGGAGAGTTAGCTGGCTTTGTAGCTGAAGCCTGGCTGGAGGGTATTCAGCAGATAATGTGGTCACAGTCTGCTGGAAGAGAGACAGTGCCTTGAATCCATTTGCCATGAATCTCTACTGCCTTTCTCACAACTGAAATAAAAGTAGCAGCAGGGCTTGCAGAGTGGATAACGGGCAATGCTTTTTTGATATTTCAAAAGCCTGGTATAATTATTAGATTTTTATTCTTCTTTGTGTTATAGTGCTGTTAAACTAATGGGTTGGTGGGATTTGGGAGAGTGAGTTGTGGGATGGTGGTGAGGAGAGACAAGTCTTTCTTTTCTAATTTCTTGTTCCCTAGTAAGATCAGGTCAGCTGGTGTGTTCTGATTAGTCTAGGGTCGGTTGTAAGGAAACATTGAAGGTGCTGGGATCCCTGCCTCGGTGAGCTATAAAACCTTACACCCCCATACAGCTTCTCATCGTGTGTACCCAAGCTCTGCTCTGCATCTGCTCCTTACCAGGGAGGGGCAGAAGTGCTCTCAGCTCATCAGGGGAAGGGAGAGTGTGGTGGGAGCGGAGGAGCCATGCACAGTGTGTAATGTAGGACGACAAGAGTTTTTTAAAGGCAAATAGAATAGCCTGTAATGTCAGTTTTCTTTTAAATCTCGTTTAGGAGATGGGGAGATGAGTGACTGGGAACAACATGGGAGATTTCTTCTTAGGTCTCAGCACCTTGGACTATGGATTCAACTGCACATAGAAAATGGACTCTAGTATCTGTCAAAGAGCAGAAATAGGGGATGGACAACAACTGACCTATACAGTCCTTCAGATCTATCTTTATCTCCATAATGCCTTCAAGTGCAGACCATGGTCATGCGTTAGTGACGCATTCAGTGATTTCACAGTGTATACAACATTCTTCATGTGCATGAAAGAACAGGAACAGGGAAACAGCAGTGAACATCACTGAGACTTAAAACAGTCTGGTGGATGAGTGGAACAGTCACTACATGAAGAATGTAGGGCAGGATGTAGTTACAGATAATGTCCCTCTTGCCTGAGCTGTGTTCTACCTCTTTGAGCTTTATTTTAATGCATCTCTCACATTGCAACACTATTATTCTTTATCTAAAGCTTTTCTTAATTTTTAGGAAAGAAGGCATCAGTACAGCTCTCTTGGTGTTTAACAATGCACTTCTCTTCCCCTAAAAAAACAGATTTAGGCCACTGTAGTTTCTTTATGTCGTGGATATGATTCATTTTGGCCATGGGAGGAGAATGACAGTTACTTGCTACACAAACCTTTCCTGTGATTCATGGAGTGCCATTTGTGTCAGCCTTGAAGGAGGCACTTCATATGCTTCCTAGCAGGAAGGAAAAAGAGCACGATCATAGTTACCAGATAGGATATGGAAATTGGGTGGGAGGGAAGGGAAAGGGGAGAGGGAAATGCTGATTTTTCAGAAGAAAGTTGCAGGAATGCCAAGATTCTGCCTGCAATATCCATTCATCTACTTAATGAAAAATGGATACATACCAAGCTTATATGTAATTAAGGGAAACATCATGACTGTAATTGCCATGTTCGCAAAATAGTATGGCTTATGTAACTTCTTTGTGTAAATATATCTTAGCACTTTTCCTTCTGTCTCCTGGATCAATCACTGTTTCATATGGTGTGAAGCTCCTATGCCTGAGTGATGTGTTCCAGCAACAGTTTCAGGTTTTTCTCTCAAGCTAAGATGGCCGTATACAATGCTTTATGGCAGCTTTCTGCAGAGACAGATTTTTGTGCTCTAACATACTAAAGTAGTTAGCAGCTTAGGAAGTGCACTAGCTTGCCAGATCAAAAGACATTTTCCTTTCTTCACAAAATAATTTGAAAAGCTATACCATCATTTTCTTCCTAAAAATAACAGCACAGATTGGCTACTTAAACTGCTTGTAGAGAAGAATACTCCATTAAAGACAACCCCTAATGTTGCACGGCAGACTTTGGGGCTCTTTTACAGCTTCTAGCTGCTTCCAGCTGTTTATACCTGGAATAAATGGGAGTAGGAGAAGTGGAAACTTAGGTTTCCTAATTTCTTAATTCCCTAACTGGGTAGGGGCTGGTGGCTGGCTGGCTGCCCTCCCGCAGCCGGCAGTGTTTGGTGTGGTACGTGTACCGGTGTCGGGAGATGCAACTGCGGCTGCTCGCCGTGTGGTGTCCATGAAGAGTCCTTACCCAGCTGAGCAGGTGCACAGCAATGTCAGAATGGGAAAGCAGAGGTGTAGTTAGAGATGAAAGGAGTGAAATTAGGAGGAATGCAGAAGAGAAAAAAAAAAAGTAAATGTGAATTACTAACCACATGTCCTGTATTCATTGATTTTCACTGGCAATTAAAATTTTACTGCTTGATTCACCAGCACTATTCAATCTCCCATTATTTCCTGTGTTATAAAATGCTGGCTCTGTTTTGATTCTGCAGTAGCTATATTTATTGGGGATAAGGGGTCTAATTATAGCTCTGAACCATACTGTACTGAGAGGGCATTTAAGTTTCTTCTGACTTTCTGAGGCAATGTGATGAGTCATGAAATATAACTTTTGCAGAAAATATCCCGATTGCCTAATGACTAGGTATTGGGAGATGAAATTACACACACTCTCTCTTGTTCACATGAAACTAGGGAAGTGTCTTTCTGAGTAAGCTGTTTGTTCAAGTTACCCAAGAAATGTCAAGGTTTACAGTTGCAAAATAGGAAAAAAGTATATGCTTGAGGAGCTTGAAAACGCCTGCTGTGCCTTACAGATGCTTTAGAAATTCACAGCATTAATACTTGTCTTCATAGCTGTAAAGAAAAAATGCTGCCTGAAAATAACTCAACTGATCATCCACGTACAACGTGTTTTGTTTTGCAGATGATGTAGAGGATGTTGACAGTATGGAAAATGTGATGTTAGAATATGCCGCAATGGACAGAGAACTTAACCATTACATGAGAGCAATTGAAGAAACGGTAAATCAGGTAAACTGCCACTGCTATTGAAGTTACAAAAATATATCTTTATTTAAATATTATCTTAAGTGGTGTCCCCCAGGGCTCAGTTCTAGGGCCAGTCTTGTTTAATATCTTTATCAATGACCTGGATGAGGGGATTGAGTGTGCCCTCAGTAAATTTGCAGATGACACCAAACTGGGTGGCAGTGTTGATCTGCTTGAGGGGAGGAGGACTCTGCAGAGAGACCTGGACAGGCTGGATCGATGGGCCGAGGCC